ATTATCTATTAAAACATCGAAAAAAATAAATAAATAATTGCATTTAGAATTCCAATTTTTAAAAAAGTATAAACGAGTCTTGAGTAAAACAGGTTAACAAAAGTAAAATATTTTATCTACCTAACTAATCCACCTACCCCTATCCTCCACTATCACCACCAAAATAATTAAAAGTGCAAAAAAAATAATTAAAAATTGAAAAAAAAAAAAAAACAAAAAACAAAACAAATGGTTTTATTCCTTATTAAATTCGCACCTGCCATTGGTCGCCCCCCCTCCCTATCGCACTGTAGCACCATCTAGGAATTCAATTAATTTTCTGTAATCAAGTTTCGTATTTCAATATCTTTTTCTGTTAGTGCATAGATATATTCCTAAAAACGAGGCAAAAGAAACCTGAATGAGGAAGAAGCAACCTTTTTGTCTTTTTTCCTTAACTTTTTTTTTTTTTTTTTAAATTACGATCAATTGAAAAAGTTGAAGTACAATTATCTAATTAACACCGATTGAAAGTATGATTACTGCAAATGGTACGAGACAATATATAGTAGGTTCTATTAAGTGAGTTAGTGTCACCATCTATTACAGGGAAGTCACCACCACATAAATTGATCACAAGGCTTTTCTACAGGCACTCTCGAACACAAAGTTGGAGGACACAAGTCTTCGTTCATAAGCTATGAAAATAGGAAAAATGATTATAAAACTTTTGTCTTCGACACAGTCTCTCACTAGCACATCGATTTGAAACTCGATTTTCCCGGGCCAAAGTCGATAAATGTATCTGCTTCTTGCAATCTCCGGTACAATCATGCTACAAGTATTTTAGTATGAAAATCTAATCAAATGACGCTGCTGACAGCTTCATCCGATTATGCTTGGAAATACAAAAAGTATGCAAAGAAAAATTTGAGTGAAACTCGATTTTCCCGGGCCAAAGTCGATAAATGTATCTGCTTCTTGCAATCTCCGGTACAATCATGCTACAAGTATTTTAGTATGAAAATCTAATCAAATGACGCTGCTGACAGCTTCATCCGATTATGCTTGGAAATACAAAAAGTATACAAAGAAAAATTTGAGTGAAAATGAAGAAGAGAAAGAACTGCTGTTTGCTTATACGAATCTTGGGCCTAGAGCTCGGTTTTACTTGACTTCAAACGCTTGTTCTGCAAGATTGTTTTCTTGCCTCTTCACCACTGTCTTAGCCGATTTGTAACTCTGTTAGCGTGATTTTTTAGTTTCTCGCCTGCATCCGCGACTCCTTTGGACCTTTGATGATCCTTTGCTTCCAATCATAATTCTTACCATCCTTTTCTCCTAAGACTTTCCCCGCCTAGAGCTCGGTTTTACTTGACTTCAAACTCTTGTTCTGCAAGATTGTTTTCTTGCCTCTTCACCACTGTCTTATCCGATTTGTAACTCTGTTAGCGTGATTTTTTAGTTTCTCGCCTGCATCCGCGACTCCTTTGGACCTTTGATGATCCTTTGCTTCCAATCATAATTCTTACCATCCTTTTCTCCTAAGACTTTCCCCTGTAGCAATGTAGCAGCTTAGCGTTTTTAATAATTTGAACTTATGAATTATGATGTGAAGTTCTTGTTAGTACCAATTTTGAGGGGAAGTCTGGTTCCTCGTCTTCATCTTCGTCTTCTGCATCTTCATCGCCCATGTTTTTCATGTTCATCAAGTCTTCCCTCGAGTACATTTTCATGCTGGGTGCCTCGCCTGCATCCGCGACTCCTTTGGACCATTGATGATCCTTTGCTTCCAATCATAATTCTTACCATCCTTTTCTCCTAAGACTTTCCCCTGTAGCAATGTAGCAGCTTAGCGTTTTTAATAATTTGAACTTATGAATTATGATGTGAAGTTCTTGTTAGTACCAATTTTGAGGGGAAGTCTGGTTCCTCGTCTTCATCTTCGTCTTCTGCATCTTCATCGCCCATGTTTTTCATGTTCATCAAGTCTTCCCTCGAGTACATTTTTATGCTGGGTGCTCCTGGCATACCCTGAATCCGAGTGTTGGGCGTGGGGGTTGAGAGTTAATATAGAAGTCAGAACAAGAAGCCAACAAACATTCTATATTTATAAACATGCACAAGTACCTCCATGGATTTTAATAGTTTATCCATTTCAGCCTCTTTTGAGCACTTGGCAATAAAAGGTTCTCTAGGAGTCCTATCCTGAAGAGGGGAAAAAATAAACACGAAAAAGGAGGAAAATTAAGAGTAGGAAGTCGCAGGACGTAGTTCTCATATGAATGTGGCAAGCAAGTAGATACAATCCTTCGTAATGCTGTTAAAAGGAACATCGTAAGAAAAATTATGCATTTGAAGAACATAATTGATGCAGGTTAAAGATTCTGGGAAAAAAATTCTAAACAAGTTGCTAAATAAAAACAAGAAATTCAAACTTTCATGGAAATAAATGCAACTTTGTCTTCACTCAAGAATCAGCCGGTGGTGAAGCTTCGGTGTTTTCTTATTTTATCATATTTCTCATTTATAAACCAAGAAATACAAGCAAACTCGGCCATGAGAACAATGTCACAGGAACAGACACCAGCCATCAAGTATTGAATGTAAGATAGAAATCAACATCTGATACCCTTTTTTGTATGAAAGGACTAGTTTGGTCATTAGACAGAAAAATTTCTCAAGAGCAAAACGAATGATAACAAATGACACAATATCAAATATGCATTCCAAGCACCAAAAACAAGAACACCTAAATGAGTTCAAAACAGTATTTGGATAATTCATTAGCTATCTAAACTAATTGAAAAACTAGCAAAAGGTGCTCCATTTTGTTGCCATATTTTTCAAAGAATAATATGGGCATGCTCACTCCTTGATACGGGAGAATTGAAGCAGTGGGCAAATTTGCCGGCTGCATTTATTCTCTTGTGTTCACTTAAGGTTAGAGAGAATCGGCCACAATAGGTGAACAAGGTCAAGTACTCAGCATTGTCCAGTAATTGAGATTTTCGGGAAAATTGACTTCCAATATAGGAGGGAGATTTTTTTATTTTACTTTGACATCAGCCAGAATCCATTGAGTTACAAGATATTTGGCCACCAAATCAAGTACAAATTCAAAAATATTCGTACATCTGATTTGGTGGAAAACAAGTTTAATTGTATGAAATCTTTTTGCCTATATCGCTTGCAACCCCTCTAATTTGGAATGAATAAAAAGTAGGTCACAATTGAAAACACATACCACAAGCAATGTTATATCCAACATCTCAAAATTAACTTGAGAATGTCAGTCAAAGTAGTCACCTTAGCAACTGGTGGTGGCTTTTTACTGAATGCTTTGGTGAGGTCCTTGCAGATAAAATTTACTAAAGAATCAAGATCTGGCTTGTTTTTATAACATATTTTGCAACATCAGTATCAGAATAGCCCAAAACCTGAAAAATTCCAGTTGATACTTAGTTGCAAAATTTCATAGATTCAATGCTAGAACTGTCCCAAACATAAGGAATAATGAAAAGGAGAAAAGATAGATATCTGAAAGTCAGAACTCAGAAGAATCCAATAAAATGTAAAAATGCTATTTAATTTTTTATAATTAAACAGAAAAACTGAAAGAAACCATGTATATAACAACAAAGAACCAAAGCAAATCCAAAGTTGAGCTTTCTGAGGGACTCGTGAGAAAATGATGCCGACCAGGAGCAGAAGTAATCGAACATTAATGATTTATAGAAAGTTACATTCGGCTATTGGTTGGTGCCAAAATTACAAAGATTTTACAAAACCAGACCAGTTGACAAGCTCGTTCTATTGTTTTCAATTCTGAACTGCATTGTCCTTCAGAGTCTTGTTAATTAATGCCTTTCCACGTTATTTTCTTTGTTTTTAATACTAATAAAATTCAATTATTGTATTTAGGTTAATTTCATTCACAGTCACTGTAGTGATCCAATATTCATTTGGGTATTCTCCAGTTTGTGTATTATACTTCATTTTTATGTCAATTGAATAATTGTACTTTTGATTTTGTCTCAATTTAGGGCACTTTGTTCAATTTCGTCACTTTTTTTAACTATCAATTTAGGGCACTTCGTTCAATTTCGTCACTTTTTTTAACTACTAACATTGGCACCATGGCATGATTTTTACATACTAACGGTCATCAGACCTGAAAAAAGTGATACGGTTAAAATTTTTGTTTTACATATTAGGTGTGTAAACTGAAGATAAGCCAATTTGTGATTTTTTTTTATTTTTTATTTTTTATTTTTTGTGTTCTTGTATCACTTCTTCCCTATCATGTTTTGATGGCTACACAATTAGTATTAAATGGCACATCAACACATGCGTTAGACAATGTGACAAAATTGAATGAAATGACCTAAATTGAGACAAAATTGACGTATAGCAACCTAAATTACACAAATTAAATTATAAGTATCCATTTAATATAAATTGAACAAATTTATATTTGTTGCACGGCATTATAATTGTAGTTAAGACCCCAAGTCTTTGCACATTATAGTACATATCTCTCCAATTTTTGTAACGTTTATCATCAATTTTTCATTAATCAGCACATCTTCCTTCTAATAATGGTTTTGCCCAAAAAATCGTTCGGAGGAATAAAATGATTTATTTGTTATTATATTCTAAAAAAATAATAAATACAAGAGTACGGCAAAAGATTTGCGCTTTATCTCAAAGTAAAAAAAATAGAAATTCTTTGACATCATATCACCATCGAGAACGAGATGTGTTATTTAATAGAATGTTAAACGGAAGAGGTTAAGGACATAATTGTTGGTTTGAAGGGGTGTTGGGAAAAGTCAATAAAGAAATCTGATTCCCTGAAGTGTCAACTCAATGTGAAATTGTCCCCGTTGATCAAGTTTTATCCCAATCAGGTTATAGTTACTAGAAAACTGGAAAATTGGAAATTGACTTGGAGCTTTTAAAACATCACATATATCGAAATATACAAAGTTTCATGGTAACATTTCTCTTACCCAAACTTGGACACGAATAACTCGAATATTTCACGAGTCTTCATGAAAATTTGAAACTCGATTTTCGTAAACCAAAGTCTAAACATAAATGTATCTGCTTCTTGCAATCTCCATTAACACAAAGTATTTTGAGTATCAAAATCCAGTCAAATGTCTATAGCAGCACATCTTGAAGTCATAAATTTTGGAGGAAGAGGCAACGTTGCACAACAAGATCAATTATCAAACCCAAGATTCTATTGAGAAATACCAAAGTGATGATAAAAAGCAGTCCCATTGTGCAAGTAAATATATACAGGGAAATGAAGAAGAGAAGGAACCGATGTTGCCAACGCAAATCTTGGGCTTACAGCTCGTGCTCGTGCTCGTGCTCGTGCTCGTGCTCGTCTGTGACTGTTTTGGACTTCGATGGCCACCGGCGGTTTAACCAACCAAGAAAACTTTTCCCAGCATCTTTTGCTTTATTTTTGACTTTGTGGTATGCATCTTTTGCTTTATTTTTGACTTTCGTGGGCCATTGCTTCCTATCATCCTTCATAGATAAAAATTCATGCAGGTTAAAACTTCGGGGAAACAATGTCTAAACAAATTGCTAAATAAAACAATAAATTTAAATTATAATCGTCCACTCAAGAATCAGCTGGATAGAGAAAACCATAGGACCATACTGATATTTGTGTAATGAATAACACCTGAAGTTATATTATTGTTATTATTTTTGTCCACTTTGAAGGGTGGTTATCGTTAGCCATCTAATCAATGTTATGGATGGATCTAGAAATTTTTTAGAGATTAAGTATAATTAACCACACAATGTAAATTCGTCTATGTGTATCTCGACGTCAATTTATCTTAACTCCATCATCGAACTTCTAATTTTCTTTTGAAAGTTTTAGATGGTTTAGGCATCCACTATAGGATTTTTATTTCACCAGTCTATTTCAGATGTAGAACAATTCTTTACGACTAATAGTATGAAATGATAAAATTAGCAAAGACCATAAAATACCGATACGTCAATGTTATATTTAGACTTGAATATCAATTCCAATATTTTAATAACAGGAACCACCATTATATTTCGAATATCTCATAAATGGAAACATGTGGATTCTTAGTGTACACACACACACACAATCAATAAACATTCCATATAAGCCCTTTCAATACGTATATTTAACACTCTATTACTTGATAATATATGTACAAGGGAATTCAACTAAGAAATTGTCAAGAAGCTAAGAAATTCAGCTACATGTAGAGATATCAACTCGACTCACTAGCTTGGACAACTCGTGGCTCAACCCATAAAACTAGCCAGTTATAGTTAAGCCTGATTTTCAGGAAATGGATCGAGTCATTTGTCGAGCCACATACAAGCTCCGTGTCATAGGGCCGTTGCAGGCAACCTCAATTGCAGCTACCTGCCTCAGGCAGGCAACTAACAGCAGTCTGCTTAATGCAGACGGCTAACAGACTGAAAGCAGGCATGTTAGAAATTTATGGAACTTTAAATCTCAAGAATTTAAAAACCTAAATACTTTATTGTTAAGATCCTTCAATCAAATCATTAAGAGAATTATTAAATGAGAAACATGCCTTAATTCATTGGAAATTATTCTATTTTACTGGATCTTGAATCTTATATCAACTGCAATCTCTTGATTTTAGCTTCTTGATCTTTATCCCTTTCTGGATTTTAGTTTCTTTCTCCATAATCTTGACTGTTTCAATTTATTTATTTATTTATTATTATTAATCTTCATTGTAGGTTTTGAATATTCCACTTCAATATGTTTTCTCTTAATATTCTTGTTTGATGGGATGACACATAAATGAAGATCACAAATGAATTGGAGACAATAACCTTATATATAGTTTTTATATGTATTTTACCTATCATTAAGACCCACACTTTATTTAGATTTCCAAAGCCTGATAACTTTAATTTTTTATTAGATCACTTTAAATGAGTTTAGCCTTAAGATAGCATTTAATTCACACTTAATTACATATGTAAGCACACGTGACAAATTAAATATCAACTATCTCCCACTTTGGCCACAAATATTACCTTATAAACATGCAAAACCTTATAATGCCAAAATTTTGTTGTTATAATCAAAAGCATCTCTGAATAATCTCATCCGTTAATTATGTCAATATAAGATCAAAGGGATCTTTGCTATAACTATCCTAACTAAACACATCAATAGTCACGTATATCAACACAATCAATAACATAGATCAAGTATGAATATGTAGCATGTAAATTACATATAATGTGATCCAAACGTACATATTTCCAATTAGTCCTATATTATTCTTTAACGAGATCAAACTAAAAACTTTAATCAAAGTGAAATTGAACTTAATACTTTATTTCTGAAATAACCTGAATATCCATGGATAAAAAAATATGTGCATAAAACTGACAACATCCAAATACAAACACCCACTAACCTACCATATCATCAAAAGATGCAACACACATGTGAACAATATGCTCATGAAAGACCCTGAGCCGTAGTTCTTTAGAAAACGGGTCCATAATCATAAAGTTTGTCCCAATATGCTTTATGGAAACTTGATTACTCTGAACTTTCTCATTAACAACTAGGAACTTAATGTCTATAAACCTTGACATCATCGATCTCCTATTGAAATACAAGACTACTATAGTCACAGAAGAACTTAAGTGGTTTTTCAATTTCATCCAAAATGCAACCTAATGACAAAATTTTGCGTCTAGGCCTATTTACACACAATTTCTCAAAATTTACTTGTAAACGTCAGCAAAAACAGTCACCTTAAAAGGTTGTGGTGGCTTTCCACATGCTTCGGCGAGGTCCTTACAGACATACTTTATGAAATTATGAACGTCTCGGTAGTTATTATAAAGGTATGTTGCAACTCCAGTATCAAAACCGGGCAAAACCTGCAGAATTCCAAAGTTGACAAAAGATAGATATTAGAAAGTCAGGAGAATCCAATAAAATGTAGAAAAGCTCCCTGTTTGACAAGAAAATCAATATTTTGAATAATAATTTTTAGGAAAATGTGTAGTTAAAAAATAGGAAAATACGTTCAAAATATTTTATAGTATGAATGTATGATTGAAGAATGAGTAGCTAGAAAAAAGGGCTTTCAATAATGATTGTGAGACATGAGCTTAGTTGTTCTCAATTAAAGAAAACAGCTGAAAGAAACCATAAATATAACCACAAGCAAAGCAAATCAACAGTCGAGCTTTCTGAGGGGCTTGTAACATAAATCTCATTACGAAACCTGACCTTTCGACAAAATTTACATTCTGGACCGCATTCTTCAACATCCTGAACAGAAGAGTTACAAAGAAGGTCAGTTCATAATGAAAGTAGATAATTATGTACAACCTATCATTGAATCATTTTCGAACTGGATTTCAGACGAAAGCCTAGAAACATTTACCTTCCGCTTTCGATTACAAACATTCTCCGCATTTTCATTAATTAGATTTGTTGCAATTTCAATAATTTCAGCTGCCGGGGTCTCCTAAGTTGCAAAAAGAAAAACATAAATTCATCAACTGATCGCATAAATACACTTAAAATAAATTCATTACAACACTTGAGTTAACAAGAAGCATAAACGCAGAGCAAAACACAGATGAATATAGAACAACAAATCATCAGCGAATAAAAACAAATACAAAATTAATAAGGTCCAGTTCTTGAATCAACGTAAGAAAATAAAAATACTTCTTTTAACAAATATAAACGAGTGGCCCAATTCTCGAATTTAAGAATGAACCCAGAAAATAACATTACTTTTCTGGAAAAGATCTCAGCTAGTTTATCTTCGACTTCGTCATATAGCTGTATTGCCAACTTTGAACAGGCATCACATTCTGTGTCCGCTACACACTTAACTGGTTCCGCCGAACACTGTGATATTGGCATCCATAGTGATATTATCACTGTAACACACAACACTAACAATAAAGAAGCTCTATCAAATTTCGCCATTACTCTCTCTCTCTATCATAGACACACACACACCTCAATAATTGTTCCGCTGGAAGGACGTCAAATCCTGAAGGAGGAGTTTAATGGTCCAACAAAAAAGCCATAGAGCCGGGGTTGAAAACAGGCCAAAAATAGGGTGCCTACGTGGCATCTCCCTATTGGAGGATAATCATGTTACTCATACAAGTTATTTTACAACTTAATTTACAATATATAAGTTGACAATCATCACATCCATTTATTCTTTGGATGGGCGGCCGGTTTCAACCCTGGCCAAAAAGCAAGGCCTAATGGTCCAAATATTTTTTTAGAATCGTAAGATATTGAAGTCGGCTCTTCGGAGGAGAGTTAGGCCCGGTGGGACAAGGATTAATTATTTAATGACTACTTGTCCAATAACATTTCGACATCTATTCAAGATTCAATCTTTGGCCTATTCCAAGTATTTAGTGCGGAGTTGGTCCTTCACATCATATTTCGTTAAATCATTACATGAAATATGGATAATTGACGCAAAACGTTCATATCGTTTGCCTTTTGCACGCAAATCGTCCCTACCATTTG